CCGCCGTAGCGGGGCTGGGCCGGGGCGGGCTTCGCGTTCCCGCGGTGGCACTGCGGAAGCGCGAGTGAAATCCGCCGCCAGGGTGGAGTGTGCGCTCTGTGCCTCTTTTGGTGCCGGCTGCGCTGTAGGCCTCAGCCCCATGGATCCCTTTCTGGCTCTGCTGAATTCTTTGTCCGCCTGTCTGTCTGCCAGCGAGCTGCACGACCTGAAGTTTCTGTGCCAGGACAAAATTGGGAAAAGGAAGCTGGAGTCTGTCCAGAGCGGCAGGGAGCTCTTCAACTTCCTCATGGAGCAGCAGCTGATTTCAAGTCATAACGTAGACTTGCTTAAAACCATGTTTAAGAGCATTAAAAGAGAAGATTTGGTCTTACGGCTGGAGCATTTCATAGAGGAGGGAGAAGCCAGCGCTCCTGATGAGCGGCCTGACATGAAGGAAAGACGTAGGTGCAGCTTTTTATTTTTTTCGTTATTTTTTTCCAAGTGATCCCAGTAAACGTGTGTTTGAGGCGTGAGAGTGCTCAGCCCTCAGTTCCCATCTGTGGCTGCTGCTCACGGTGCTGTTGCTGTGCTTAACTGCTGCTGCAGAGACGGTGTCATACCCTGGAAGCGTACCGTGAGGGCAGCATATGCTGCGAGCAGCTGCTCCTTTAGCCCTGGTCACCGAGTCACAGAATCGTAGGGTTTGGAAAGGAACTCTGCAAAGTAGGTTCGCTGACAGCAGGTTGCACAGGTAGACAGTTAGGTGGGTCTTCAGTATCCCCAGAGAAGGAGATTCCATCACTCTCTGAGCAGCCTGTTCCTGTGCTTTGTCACTCTGACAGTAAAGAAGTTCTTCCTTGTGTTTCTGTGGAACTTCCTGTGTTTCACTTTCTGTATGTTGCCCTTGGCTCTATTGCACACCACCGAGAGGAATCCACTCCTGTCAACATGACTCCTGCACTTCAGATATTTGCAAACAGTTATTAGTCTTCTCTCATTCTCTCTTCTCCAGACTGAGGAGTCCCAGGTCTCTCAGCTGTCAGCCTGGTGGTTAATTGGAAGCCCTGCTCTGTACTAGCATCTTCCAGTGCACGCAGTAGCTTTTCATTATAAGTGATACATCAATAATAGTGTTTTGCTTAATAAAAGTATCTTTCTTTGTATGTCCTCACGTATGTATTTCTGCTGTTCCAGGTTTGCAGAAGGTAGTTATCGAAGTTATATGCGAAAACGTTGGGAGAGACTGGAGAAGGCTGATGCGAAAACTTGACCTTTCTGAAGTGAGGATAGAGAGAATAGAAGAAGACAATCCACGGAATTTGCGGGAGCAATTGGTTCAGTCACTTCGAGAATGGCAGAAATTGAAGGGGAAAGATGCAAAGGTGACTGACCTAATAAAGGCTCTTCGAGACTGTAATATGAATTTAGTGGCAGACATAGCTGAAGAGAAGCTCTCACGTCTGAACACAGAAAACATGTGAAATGAAGAGAAAAGCACTTTCACATCACAGATGCAAATGAAGAAAGAAGCAAAAGTGCCTTTTGATCATCTGTCATTGGCTCTGTTAATTCTGCCATTAATTTATGTGCCTTAAAATTAATAGGTTAATTTCAGATCAGGTTATAACTAATGTGAAAACAAATCCTTCCTTTCAGGCAGTGCTTCGCAGTTGGTGCTTCCTTTAAGAGATTTTAACTTTTGAAATACAAATTTTTTGCAGAAAATTCTGAGACTTTAGTTTTGCCCCCCATCTGAAAATAATATATGATTTATTGCAGATTCCTTACAAGTGCCTTGTCTGTAATTACATCCATGGGACACTTCTGAGGGAACTGACAATTTCATTTTATATATATATATCTCATATACACATGTATATGTGTGTGTATATATATACATGAATATTCCAACCTCCTAATAAAAAGTGTATGTATATATATATATATATATACTTTTTAAGTGATCTGTTTGTAACTAGTGTGAAAAGGGGGAAGGAGGCTGAGCTCTTAGCTATGTAGTGAGTCTTCTCTTTGTTTTGAGTAGCATAAGGTAATATCTTCCATAATTTTTGAACACCTTTGCTATCAGTAAAATAATTCAAAGAAGACTGTAAGCTCAGTCTGTAAGACATCAGTGCATTAGGACTCATAACTACTGTAGTGATTTTGTTGTTTTGTTTTTTTGCAAAAAATGTGCCTGGATTGAAAAACAATCTTGTTGAAATTAATTATCAAGTGCCTTTATACACAGAATCACAGAATGGTTTAGGTTGGAGGGTGCCTCTGGAGGTTATGTGGTCCAACTGCCTGCTGAAGCACAAGTACATAGGGCAGGCTGCCCAATACCATGCCCAGGCAACATTCCAGAGGAAAGATAGCACAACTTCTCTGGGCATCCTGTGCCAGTGCTCTGTCACCTGCACAGTACAAAAGTGATTATGGATGTTTACAGCAGACTTTTTTTTTTTTTTTTTTTTCATTGCCTTGAATGTTTTAAGATTTTCTAAAGCTAGTCATCTCATAATCTATATCGGGGAATCGTGGTTGTGTCTGCTGGATGCTGCAGCTCACCTCATCAGTCAGTCACAGTTACCTGTGGTCTTGGTTTAAAATAAATAAATAAATAAATAAATAAAAATGCTGTAACAGGAACTTAGAAAACAAAAATGACTTCTTTTTAGTCAAGGAGCCTGAAAGCTTATGGGAAGAGTACTAACTTTCTCTTTCCAGTGATATCCTGTGAAGATCGGATACCTTTTGTCATTCTTGGTTGGAGTACTACTGGAACTGGTAGTACTTCCAAGTTCTCTGCAATTCTTTACTTTGTTTCCATTCCTTTACGCTTCTAGAAAGTGGCTGTAAGCAACTCACAGTTGAAGGAGCATTTGTAAAATGAGACCAGACCTAAAAAAGTACGGATTTTATGCCTAATGTAACACTGGAAAAAGCTGCACATGCTTCAAGACACATAGGGCAATGGAAGCCTTGGAGTTATTTGTTATGCCAGAGGGGAAAATTCTCTGATATTACTATTGTTTAGATGAGTTGGATTGTTACTGCAAACATTCATCTAGCTACATAGATGATTCCTAAACAGGAAGGCTTTTTTTTTTTTTTTCCTACTGTACCCATGTGACTTGGCTTTGTCCAAGTTCTTGTTGCATGGTGCTATTACTGTGAAGACCAAGTATCATCATGTAGTATTACATCACTACTCTGTATAAATGTTGTTAACAGTCATAATTTTCAAGTTTTTGTTGAAGTTGGTGCTTCTAGTTTAGAAGATTACCCTTGAATACTTGACTGTATTTGATGGAAACTGCTGTAATGTGAACTTCTTGTTTGGGCTTTCCTTTTAAAATACGATTACGGGAATCATTTAAATCATATTAGTGATTATATGAGAGCAAAAAACAACGGGTAATATGAAAGTTCCTCTGGTTTTTGGCAGGTGCAGTTCTTCAAGTGCTTGCTCCAGTACTCTGTCAGCATCAATTCTCAGTTCCAAAGTTCTGGTGGGGGAGGAAATGCTGCACTTCAGCTCAGAAGTTTTAGAGATGTTTTTAATAGTGTTGATCCGCATTCTGCAGTATTTGAAGATTTAATCTTTTTTTACTTCATGTAATGTAGTAATGATCTTTGTGAGCAGAGTGGAAGAGAAGTGAAGTTAGCAAAATGAGTTATGTTTGTGGTGAAGCAGTTTGCAGCAGTTCCAAGTTTAGTCTGTCCACTAACATGTTTTCCTTATCTACTTGTCATAAATCTTCTGGTTTACCAAAGATTCATTTATCTGGAATATTAAAAAGAAGTATATTGCCTACTGTATATAATCAGGGTATTTTTAGAATCATTAGGAATAGCAGTTGTAGCCAAATGTTCATCTGCAAGAAATCTCCTGCCTTAGAAAATGTAAAACTTCAGGATTTGTGCGTAGTTTTATACCATGTAATCTTGTGCATATTTCATTAAATGTATTTCTTTAAAAGCAAATGAAATGGAACTGGATTTGTCTTACAGGGTTGCTGTTTATGAGGAGATCTCTAGTGAGGAGAAAATAAATGGTGGGGACTATTAATGCAAGGAGTTGTGGTAAACAGACCTAGTGTTAACCATGTCCTTCTTGGAACATCAGAAAGGATGGGAGGGCCATCGGGAAGTAGCTGTAGCTTTGAATGCTTTTGCCTGGGGAGGTATACAAGAAAAAAAATTCTGCCAGCCCTTAGGAGCCTAAAATTGAACACAGTGTATGCATGGGACATAGACCTTTTATGAGTAAATAACCGTATTAAAATTGATTTTCTTACTTTTTCTATACTAGTCATGCTGCGGTAAGGATACTGTAGTTGTTTTATAATTAAAATAGTAGTTTACGCCTTGTACTAAACCTGCAGGCGCCTAGAGAATGCATTCAGAAGTCTTATTCTCTGAAGTCTCTTCTGGTAATAGAGTATTAACGCTTTGAATGCATAAGGCAAGTAACTTAATTATTCATTTTAGCAAATTCTCTCTGTGATAATCTGCAGGAATATCTGTGAGAATCACTAAAGTGTTTGTTTTTGTCCCTTGAGACTATTTTGCAGCCTTGAAAAGAGAACATGTCAAAACGCAGTAAAAAAGCAGTATTTCAGGAGAATGTGATGTTGGCAGATTGTTTTCTTTATGTTCCTTTATAGTCCCTTTCACTACATGCCTACTATTTCCTTTGATACTTGAAGATGTCCATAATTGCATATTGCACGTTGATTTTTTTTTTTTTTTTTTTAAGAAGCTGCATTTTTTTTTCCATGACAGTTTAAGAGAAGTTTTCTAGACTTTTAAATTCCCCCTGCATGAGTTGGTTTTTGTGACTACTTCAAATGCAGTGCTTTGTATTCCATTTTTCTCCATTCTTCAAACACAGGCAGCTGCATTTCCTCCAGCCTTTGTTTCACTCCTAAAATAATGGGCTACTTTATGAAATCTAATTGCTTCATTTAATTGTCTAATGCAGACAGCTTAATAACACATGCTGTACCTCAGAGCTCTCGCTGGCACTCAGCATGTCCTTAATACAGACTGTTTTGTTGATTATTTTTCAATTTCAGTTTGATTTCTAGTCACTGTCTTTGTTTCTCCCATGATTGCCAGAAGGTGGTTTGTGTTTTTCTTCCCATTCTCTGCATAGATCACCTATGTCCTTAAAATATGTTCCAGCGCGGAAAATATTGTTCCAAAGTTGTTTTCTCTGTATGATTTATTACTTCTTTCCTCCGCCAGTGTTTTTATTGCAAGTTTTAAGGATGCACCAATAGAACAGCGGAAACCAGTTCACCGCTTCAACTGCATTCCGTCAGAGCAAGAATTATGGGGGTCAGATGAGAGGTATGGGGCTTTGATGCCTGTGAGTAGTACAAGAGCTCTGGAAGAATCCGTTTTCATAACAGTTTTCATAGCGGAGGCTTTACTCCTTGTTGGGAGGGTATTTTGCAGTGGGTTCTGGGAACTGTAGGCTTAGGAGGAAGAAAGCATGAAATGTACGCAGCTGCCAGTAAAGTCCAGATTAATGAAGAAAGAAAAGATGGGCTTCTGTGCAATAAACTCACATGCATTCTTAATGACTACGTGGGCATAAGTTTCTTCAGATCTATTTCTTCCAGTTTCCCCTTGAGAGCATTACTCATTCACTTCTTAAAAACAGACGGTTTAAAAAAACAAAACATTATTAAACATGTTAAAATACGTTGCATAGCTGATGCTAGTCAAGTTTAAATTCACTAATTCCTGTGCTTGGATAAATATTGGAGGTGATTTTTCGTTGTTTTCCAAACAGTCTGTGCTCACAGTACTGCTTGTTAATGGTGATGTAGCTTTCCCTTCTTTCAGCCTGGAGTTTAGTTTGTCAAATCAAAGGTTAATTTCATGTCACTGACAGCTCTATACTTAAGATGGCTTTCAGTCTACATAATAACCATCTGTTGTAGAAAAGTTACAGTTTTTGAAACTGTGTTCTTGAAAGCTGTGAAGGGGTTGATATTTTCTCTAATATGTATTGTGTAATACATTTTAAAGCTATTCTCCAGGTTTACATTCTCTAATGCATGTAATAAGTACCTTTGCTAAGAAGAGTAGCTTAACATTAACTTTGTATCGCAGAGTTCTGAAACTGGCATTTTTACTTCGTAGTTTTCTGGCCTTTTGATCAGACTGTTGTGCTGAGTGAAATTATAGAAGATGAAATTTGCACCCTTGTCGAGGAGGTGTATAAAGATTCAGTGGGGCTTTTCTGATGATGACAGATTTGCAGGTGAGTCTACTGGTACAGACTTCTACGTAAAGCAATAGCACTGCAATTAAAAATGCTCACAATTTTTATTCACTTCTACTTCATACTTCCATTATTCCTGTTGATCACAGGTGGATTATTAGCTCTAGAAGATAATTTGCACAATTTAATAAGAGTGCTTCTTATTGTGGCCAACTTAACAGCTTTGCCACTGCCTGCAGTGAAGATTTGCCTAAGGTGCTGTATGGCAGTATTTCTGTACACTGGTTGGGAAGTGATTATGTGTGCAAACCTGGCACCAGATTTACATACAGCGAGCATATAAGCTATGAGGAAAGTTTTATATAAAAATCATAGAATCGTAGAATGGGCCTGGGTTAAAAAGGATCTCAAAGATCATCTGGTTTAAACCCCACTGCTGCAGGCAGGGTCACCAGCCACTAGAGCAGGCTGCCCAGAGCCTCATCCAGCCTAGCCTTGAATGCCTCCAGGGATGGGGCATCCACAGCTTCCTTGGGCAAAATTGAGCCTCAAAATTATTCTTGCTATAACCTCTTGAATTTTAAGCATTTATACATTTGTAGTTCTAGACAGAATTACCTCATTTTTTCCCTGACTCTTTTGCAGAATTTTTAATATTTGTTTTTTGAAAGATTTGTGGGTTTTTTTTTTTTCTTTATAAAAAAGAGATTCCTGCATCTAGATCCATCTGTTAAATTAAAAAAGGAAACGAAAGATCTGACCATTAGAGCTTAATGCTTTTCTTTTCTTCCTCCAACCAGCAGTCTCCCTGAGAGTTGGTTCCTGTAGCTTCTAGGCATAGTGCCAAATTTTGGAAAAAAAAAAATTGCAGAGAAAACGGGAATGAAAAGGGTGCAGCACCTGGCAGGTCTCGGCCCATGGTTTCTGAGTTCTAAATCCTGTATTCTTTCTTTATGCCATGTTAAATGGGAGTAGAATTTAGTCACAACTTCCTGGCTGTGAAGTCCCTAGTGTGGGAAACCCTGGCTAACCGGAATTACCTTCAAAGCCATTATTCCCATGGCAACTGCTTTGCACGAGAGTGCACTGGGCATGTGGCTGCAGCATGCTCCCTCCTGGCTATCCAGCTAGCTGAATAATGCTGGGAAGCTGTTAGTAATTGGGAGACTTGCTGCCGTCTCTGGTAGCTGACCGTGTCAGAAAGCCTAACTCCAAGTGCAGGAACATTGAGCAGAATTCCTGACTTGATTTTCTCCCTTCCTGCCCCGTTGAGATAGGAAAAACAAGGGAGAGCGGTCCTAGAAATTAAAGCATTTGCCTTTGACATTTCCTAAACATCAGCTGAGCACTTTGTGCTTCCATTTCTGCATCTAACCTGGGCTGTAAAACTCAAACTTGTGTGTCTAACTGCGTGTTTGTGCATGAAGTAACTCATATAAATGCAGATGAATGAAAGCTAATGTGAGCTAAAAAAAAAAAAAAGAAAAAGAAAAAGCACATACATTTTCTAGCTAACAGCTACTTGTAGCTCTGTCATATGCCCCTTAAATAAGTGGATTTCATTATACAACTCTTCCCTCCAAAACATTCTACTTTTTACAAAAATTAGCACTTCTTATATAAAAGAATGTTGCCTCTCTTACGATACATTGCATCTGAATGTCAAGTTCCACACTTGGGCTGTGAGTTGTAAGGGATATTAAGAGGTATGGTGTATAATAGAACTGCAGGTACCAGTCTCTTTGTTCCATACAGCATTTTTTTTCCTTCATTTCCTGGACCTTCACCATTACCAGCACTCCAGCCCTGGCTCACTTTGAGCCTTTCTCACACAAACAAATGAGATCACTGAGATGAGTGACAATTCAAACCTGTGGTTTTGTGTTATGCTAACACAGTATATGTCACTACCGTAACAACCTGACTGAACAGGAGGTACCCAAAAACAGTGGGTTTCACTCTAAGAGCAACACTGTGGATGTGGCCCTTATTTCCATCCTGGCTTCAGTGCACCAAGCAGGTGTGGAGCAGGGAGGTGTCTGAGATCCCAAGCAGCCCTTCAGCACTGCAGTCTCCTCCTCCTGCTGCAGGACATGCCAGCAAAGAGAGACGACTGCAGCTCAGGGTTAAGCTACGGGGAGCTCAATTTGTTCCGTGAGGTCTGAGAAGTTCCCACGGGTTAATTTAGAGGAATTTGAGAAGGAATTATGGAGAAATTAGGTCAGTTCCTTTTACTTAAACAGCACCTATAGTGCCTCGTAGGCTTGTCCCGTTTTCTCCTTTAAAGATTACTTTCATCCATTATCTCCCTCCTACAAACTCATACCCCTGCACATCATGAATGTTGTTGAATGATTATCATACGGAAGCCAGAGGGAAAACAAATACTTGTTTTCTTGGTTTGAAGAGGACTTTGACGTTGCTAGAATCATCCCAAGCTATTCAGATAGGCTGTTTCAGTGGGTTTTAATGGTTTCAAACAGGATATGACAGCCTCAACTCTAGGAAAGTGGCCACTAGTAGAATTACCCTGGTACCTGTATCCTGTTTTTTTTTTTTAAGTGTTATCATGTCAGATGTTACAGCAGCAGTGGCAGCTTCCTGTTTTCCCATGCAAAGAGAGGCAGCGGGCAGCTGCTGGCTAAAGAATGCCGCTGGCTTCTTTCAGTCACGTATTTTGGTACCACAGAGGTGGTGTTATTGAAGGCAGGCAAAACAGCTTCTAACCATGCAATTGAACTGAGACACAGGACCTGAAAAAACCTTTCTTTGTGTGCTCTTAAAGAACTTACTGAACTGCTAAGAACTTACTGAAGACCTTATACATGGATTTTTCTGCAGCATTTTGGTCTCAAACTGATAACAGTATGAGATGCTCTGTATGAGCACTGAAAGCTGGGAGTCCTTTCCCCGTTGTGACTGCTCTGCATCATCACCTTTCTGCGAAGGGTGTGATAGAATGACCCAATCCAACAAAGCATTGCTAGATTTAGTACCTAACGCTTTAAATTCAGGATTGCAGATTTGGGCCAGTGTGAAGTTTGATAAATCTTTTTACTGTAAGAACACAGTTCTGTAAGATTTATTTTTGTTGCATAAGTGTCATTGAAAAATCTCCTTCCTAGCTGGATGCTTGTGAATGTGCAGCAGTAAGCACATTTTTTTTTTTTTTGTGTAACTGCCATCTACTCCATTGAACCTGTTGGTATATGGCTTAATGATATAGTGGATTCAAACTTGGGCTGTGTTATTTTGGTGAAAGAAAACTGTACAGTTTATTATGGGAGACAAAGAAAGTGTTAGATGTGAGAATGACGTGTCTCCCCAATTCACATACGCTTGTGTATGTGTACATACGCATATCTCTGTGTATATATGTATACATATGCATACATGCACACACCCTTAAATAAAGCTATTTGATATCATCTGGAAAACAAGATTTTCCTGACAGTGCTATTTCTCAATACTCTTTCTCAGACTTACATCTATCGCTGTAAGCTGTAAAGAAATGCATCCCTCTGACAATCTCCAAGATCAGCCCCAGTTTTGCTTGAAACAGTTGTGTTGTATTTCAGGGCCAACACTAAATACCAAGTACAAATGCAGGGCCAGCTGCTGCATCTTTAAGGTCAGGCAGAGAAAAAGTGATTTTAAAGCAGTGTTTCAGTCTCACAAAGTTAAATGCAAGAGTTGGCTTATTTCCTAGTATACATTAGAGCAGTCATGGGTTTCTATTACGATCAGCATTTTCCTTCAGTGTAATACTTGATGCCAATACAAATCAGTGATGCTGACGTTAACCCTCTGTTCTTTACCTCGTTACAGCTGCTGCCTGCAAGAGTGAGAGTCAACATCAATTCTTTAATAAGCGTCCATATTTCAGAAACAGTGTGTGTGACCAAAATGAATGGAAGGATCCTTCCTTCTCATTGTGCAGACTTTGAGATGAGTTGTCTGTGGTGCAGATGCTGCTCTCTCCCAAGCTGTCAATGGAGCAACCTGATTCCCAGCCTGTCCATAAATGATTAAGGAAGAAGATAGGTGAGTTTCATCCGCTTCAGTCTTAGGACTCACTGACAAAGAGTACAAAGAATAATTTAGCTCCAAGTTCCTTTTGTGGCAAAGGCAATGGTTCACCCAAGTGAAACTACTAAATTAACCTCACCTTGGCTAGACTAAGTATTTTATATTTGTATATGAATAAATGATTCCTGAAAGTTGCAGGCATTATCATCCACAACTGGATGATAAGGGACAAAGGGAAGTTAGGTTTATGTGGATTTGCAGGAGGGTCTGACCTGTATGGGAAGGGTCTGACTGATGGTGTGCAGCACACAAAGAAGGATCCCAGCACTCTTTGCCTATGTGCACGAGTGTAAGTGTCCTATGGCAGCTTCCATTACAAACCACAGCTAGAGCCTGTTCGTGAGTAAATATTTGACTCATTTAAACGTGAATTACGATACAGATTGAGGACACGATCATAGTGTCTTTAATAGGAACCATGTTCAGGAGAACAAGCTCTGAAATTAATTATTTGCCTTGATTGTTAGAGTATTGATGAGAAAAGTCAGGGCTGCTGATTTTTATATTAGAGTTATATTCCTTTATATCTTACACAGGATGGCTTTCAGCTGTTTTTAAATGTTTTGTTTTTATATTACTATTCTTAGTGTGTTTGAAAATCAACTAATTGACATGACTTAGAGGCAAGACAATGACAAGGCTTTTTCAGCTTTTGTACTACTTCCTAGAAATAATGATAATTGAAGAAAGAGCTAAGAGAGGGCTGCGTTTCCTCTTATTTCTTTTGCAAGCTATACACCATGTAATTTTATTTTCAGCAGCTAGATTATGTCTTTTTACCTAGTACCAGCCTACATAGGTTAACTGATATTTGATAAAAGTTATGTAAATACATTCAAACGAAGGAGACATTCAGGCAAACAAAAAGGCAAAATGAGAACTGGAGTGACTAAGAGTATTATTCGGCAAAACACAGGAGCAAATCTTTTGTTGGTAGCCAAAGTGAGTTAAAAGACTGCTCTTTAAGACCTTGATGCAGAAGGCATTTCTCAGTTTTTAAATCACAGAATCATAGAATATCCCAAGTTGGAAAGGACCCATAAAAGTATTCATGTTCAACTCCTGGCTTTATACAGGAGCACACAAAAATCACACTGTGTGGCTGAGAGCATCGTCCAGCAACTTCCTGAACTCCGGCAGGCTTGGTGCCATGGCCACTTCCCCTGGGAGGCTGTTCTGATTGCCAGCCACACTGTTAGTGAAGAACCTTTTCTTGATATCTAACCTGAATTGCCTTCATGTGCTGCATGACTGCAAGTTTTACAGAGGAGATGATGTGTTGAAGAAACTAGTTCGGTCAGACTAGTAACAGACATGCAGCCAGTGTCAAGCCAAGAAGGGACGCAAAGCCTCATTATGTTTATCTTATTGTTAAAAAAGATGATTCAGCAATCTGGTCATCCTTGATGTGTACATCTCAACACAAGGAAATCTCAGCAGCACTAAAATGGTGATTTCTGACAGGAACCCTGAAACTGCCTTTCTTTAAGGTGAACGTGAATGCAGTGGTAGGGATGACCATTGCAGCTGGTGAGGTGCAGAGGGCTCTGCTGTCTTTCCACCTTCTCTGAAATGCTTTGCAGAGTCTGCTCCCCTCTGCATGTCTCACCCAGGTCATGTTGTGTATACTCTGGATTTATGGATTTGCAAGGCATTTTGCTCAAAATCATGGCATTTCTTCAAAAGACGGATGGGAGCAACTCTCTTGGCTTATATATTGAAAGGGATGTGCCAACTTTCATGTATTTACTTATTAAAATAAAGAGTTTATCATATTGGAATAGCACCAGATGGTAGGGACTGACCAACATACATGCAAACAGAGAAGGAATTTACTTAAAAAAACATTATATAAATTTTGCAGAAGAGGAGAAGCATTGCTTGCTGTGTTCCCATTATTTTTCTTAGTGTTTGTTTCAAGTTGATTTGAGCGCTGTTCCCAATGGTCTTTTTTTTTGTTCATCTGGCATAAGTAAATCTCCTTTTTCTAAAATACTGTCTACTTTCCCTCCGGGTTCTTTTCTGACTGATTCCTTTTAAAAGTCAGTCTGCTGCTTAAGGCTACTACTAGGTATTCTGAGCTGAATGTTTACTATTATATGGCTTATACGTATTTTCTGTGTCAGAGTCTGACCTAGTAACCCTCTTCTCCTCCAAATGCCAAGGGTGATGTTTAGTTTTAAATGGCTTGGTTGCCTAGGAAGAATTGCTGTTAATCAGAACAGAAAAATGATGTTGGCTAATGACCTTTCTTTGGCAGCAGTTTAATACACCATATCAATTGGCAGATAATTTCATTTGATCCTTGGGATAACCTTGAAACTGGAGATATTTTTTGACAGTATGCACCGGTGCCATTGCAGGTATCCATAGTTGCTAATATTTTAATCTGTTACAGTTTTCTGTATGAATTGATTCTGAGGCTGAGGCACTAACTTGGCAGATTCGTTTTACAAATTGATATTTTTAGCAAATATTTTTCAAGACCGTTGGGAATTATCAAATGGTGCAAACAAACACTGAGGGGTTGGACTTGATCCCCAGAGGTCCCTTCCAATCCCTGTGATTTTGTGATTTAACTCCAGTGTACATAAACCAGTGATTCACTGAGAACAGTGTTTACATTTTCATTTGCCTATAAGCTAAAGCTGGTTGCACAGCAAAATGTTGTCAGTTTTACACACATGCGATTTGGAAATAATCTTACCAACGTTATTACCTTCACATACACAAGTTCCAATTCAGCATGCATCTGAATAATGATGATAGTGATTTCTGCATGCAATTTCATGCAGGCAATGTGTGCGTAATGAAAGGTATGTTAACATCCTGAAAACTAGTCGGTTAAGGATTAAAAATAAGACTAAGTGCTATATGAGATCTCTCTATTTATTTTTAAATGCCTTTGTCTACTTTCCTACAGTAGCATGAAGGGCTAATCATAGAGGATGCTGAGTACATAGAAATCATGGTCCAGTTTGCTTAGTGCCTACTCCAAAGCCACTTGAAGCAGTAGGAACCTTTGCATAGCAGACAAGCTATATATATATATATCTCCTATATATATCTCCTTCAAACTCTAACTTACAGGAGCAGAAGTGTTACTTTTTGTGCAAATCCTTTTAAATCTAGTTAGGCTATCTATAAAACTCCCTGTGTGTGTTATTAAAATTATCTTTTTTTTCTTTTCCTAAAGCATTCTGAAAAGATGAAGCCTCAGTTCTGAAATGATCTGCACAGATATTAACTCCCAGTCCCTCTTAGTATTCAGAAGCTTGAAAGACTGATTGTCTATAAGAGCTCACTCTAGGATTAGCACATGAGTACACAAGGTGTTTTGCAATAAAAAAAAATATATATAATTCCTTTTTCTTGGTAATTGAATTTTCATATATCCTCAGAGATTGCCGTGGCTCTGTATTTGTAGGTCCCAGTTGCGCAAATATACTCGTATAATTCCAGACCAGTTAGAATTAATGAGTAAGGCAGGCAAGCCTCGAGCTGCAAAACACAAAGCAGAGAAGCTGATTGCAGTGCTTTTTATTTCCACAGACATTCATGTTCATTTTACTTGCTTTCCTACAAACGAGCTGTGCCATTTCTCACACGTATTTGGCATCCCAGCCCCAAATTTGTCTCTTGCTGCTTCAGGGACCTAACTAACTGTCCCCCACGGCCAGAGTGCAGCTGCCCTAGGCTCCCGCTGCAGCCAGTGAGAAAACAAGCATCCCAAGAGGGTGATTCACGGACCACACCAAACGTCTGAATCGCTCCCACGGAGCGGCTCTCTCACTCCACTGATTACAGAGGCAGGCAAGGGTAAATGGGTTCAGAATGTAGGTGATCAGCCAGGTGGAATGTATCCAGACCTGCTCCAGTGAGTCAGGAGGTGCAGTATCACAGCTGTTTCTGAATCCTTGACTCCAGACCTTTCTGCTTCAGCTATGCCACATGAATTTCCTGATTTTTTTAATTTTTTTTTTTTTATTGCAACTAAATAATTTTCAGCCCTGAACTTACAACTGAAAGGGATTGGAAGTAGAAGTTGTTATTTGTTAAATTCAGTCTATTTAAAGATGCGCTGAAATCAGTATGTTCACTTACTGTAAACTACCCATGCATTAGATATTAGGGATATATTTCACTCAAGATTGAACTAACTGATACTTTTCTTTAGAAAATCCTTGTAGCTCAGGGGGGTTTCTGTCACTGTAGATCAATACAAAAAAGACAACAGCTGCAACAATTCTGTGCTGTAAATTGCACAACTGGAGCTGAAAGTAATCTGCAAACCTTTTCGAGTTCAGTGGGTTTGTACTTGAGTGGGCATATGCATTTTTGGTTGTTAGGAACAGCAGCTGAATTTAGAAAATATTTATAGTACTGACATACCCAATAAAATAAATATTGTGTGATTCCCATTAAAATGCATACTTTACGTTCATCTGCTCTCTTAAAAGTTTTCTGCACATCTTCAGAGCTGTCTGTTTTGTGGAGGCTGTTCTTCCTATCAGATGAAGCAATCCAACTGAAAACCCTCTGAGATTTCAGAGCAGTTGACTCTGATCTGATTTACACTTGCATAAATCAAACACAAATCCATCTAAATCTGTGCGGTACAAATAATATGTTGATGTAGAGAACTATGGCAAGCCACTCTTTCTAGCCGTCACATCTTCTGTTGCCAAAGGGTTGACACAATTTCTAGTGCACTTACCACTACACTCTGGCATAGCAATTAATTGTTCTGTCCTCATCTCTATAGACCACCATATGGTTTCGTCCCCTCTTGTTGCTTCTCCCTCCAGGCAAAGAGGCTATTCTGCTCAGCAACCTCTGGATGCATTTGTTATGGTAGAAGAATGGCCATGCATCTACTGACAGAAGAGTAATTGGTGCTGTTGGCAAAAATCCTCTCCTTTCA